CCTCCTCCTCCTCCTCCTCCTCCTCCTCCTCCTCCTCCTCTCCAGACCCCACATCACCAAGGACCTCTCATTTCAATCCCGAGCTACAAATATTCTCCTTTATCAAATCAGAAGGAACTTGGCTATTCCATTTCAAGCTAACAGGTTATTTAAAAGCCCCAGCTTTTAAGCCCCAGCACATCAATCATTTCTTTTCAGCCAAACATGATCCTTGATTCCCAGCCTTCTTTGATCTTGATTGTGTCTGTTTGTGTAAATGCAGCCAAGATGGCTTGTAAAGGATAGTTTCGGGCCACAGCGAGATGAGATGTGTCAACGCACTCAGGGTGTTACGAGACCCTCCTCTGACCTGGTGGCGCTCCAAACATTTGCTCCAGAGCAAATTTACGAAACAAAATTATATGTCCGGCATCTTTTACCAGAAGGAACCAGCTGTTCTCAGGAGTGGCCAGTTGTAATCTTATTCATCTGGAAGATACCAGGCAAGAGGGAGGGTTGGGTCACAGAGCTACATAGAAAAGGGGTCAACTAAGTCCACTTTATTGGAAATGTAAGCAAGTGAGGGGTACCTTCTTTCACGCTTGGTGGCTTTGCCCAAAAAGTAAAAAATACTGGGGGGGGGGGGAATCAGAATTTGGATAAAAGAAATTACAAATATTCAATTAGAATTTAAGGCCAAAATATTTTTATTGGGGATGATAAAAGGTGATCACGCAAAAGAAATGAAATGTCTAATTCTTCATATAATTATTGCCGCAAGAATCACGTTAGCACAAGGCTGGAAGGGTGACCAAATGCCAACAAACAATTTGATAATCCAGAAGGTCCTTGACTGCGCCAAAATGGAAGTACTTACCCAAAAATTAAAGGATGAGGTTGACTCAAAATATAGTACAGTTTGGGAAAAATGGTACAATTGGATTAAGGATAAAAATATAGGGAATAAAAAGATAAGGAATGGAAAAAAATAAAGTGGTTAGATTAAGAGTATTTACCAGGAACAGGAAATGATAATTAGAAAAATTGTTTTTGAGAAAAGAACACACCGTCTAATTGATTAGAAACATATATGTTTTTTGTTTATTCCTCTTGGGGGAGGAGGAGGAGGAGGAGGAGAACTATGGGGTCTTTAGTACTCTCTGAGCTTGGTGGTTTTCTTGCAGACGTTTCATTAGCCAACTAGGTAATGTCATCAGTGCCAGAAGAGAGTGGGATTTGCAGAGAGGAGGAGGAAAAAGAGGAAGAGGAGGACTGGGATTCTTGCTTCTTGTAGACATTTACTCAGCTGGGTAACATCACTAGTGCTAGAACAGAGTGCAATCTGCAAAGAGAAGGAGAAAGAGGGGTCCTTGGTGCTGTCTGAGGTTTGTGGTTCTCTTGCAGGCCTTTCATGACCCAGCTAGGGAACATCATCAGTGCCAGAAAGGAGTGGGTTTGCTCTCCTTACATACAAGTCACACACACACACACACACACACACAGAGAGAGAGAGAGAGAGAGAGAGAGAGTTGGATTCTTTGCACCATCCTCACAGCCACAAAATAAAAATTTGGGCATTTAGCAACTGGCATGTATTTATGAGCGTGGCATTGTCCTGAGGTCGTGTGTTTGTAAACTTCCCAGTCAGCTTTTGACAAGCAGTGTCAGTGGGGGGGAAAGCCAGATCCCCTTAATGCCCGCACGATTCCCGTAACCCCTGCGGTGCTTCACTTAACAACGATGGCAAGGAAGGTCACCAAATGGGGCGAAGCTCCCAACCGCCGTCTTGCTTAGTTAGCCACAGAAATCTTGGGTTCTGTTGTGGCCATAAGTCAACAATTACCTGTGTTTCCAAGAATCCAGAACCTGGATAAATTAACTCTGAGAATGTCTCACCCTTCCCCTTTAACAGATTAACAGAGTTGGAAGGTACCTTATAGGTCATCTAGTCCACCCCCACCCAAGCAGAAGACCCTACACCATTTCTGACAAATGGCAGTCCAATCTCTCCTTGAAAGCCTCCAGTGAAGAAGCTTCCACAACTTCTGAAGTCAACTTCTGTTCCATGGGTTGATTGTTCTCACTATCAGAAAATTTCTCCTTATTTCAGGGTTGAATCTCTCCTTGATCAGTTTCCATCCATTATTCCTTGTCTGGCCTTCAGGTGCCTTGGAGAATAGCTTGACCCCCTTCCTCCTCTCTGGGGCAGCCCCTCAAATATTGGAAGATGCTCTCCTGTCTCCCCTGGTCCTTCCCTTCCCTAGACTAGCCAGGCCCAGTTCCTGCAACCGTTCATCGCATGTTTTAGCCTCCAGTCCACTCATCATCCTGGTTGCTCTTCTCTGCACTTTTTCTAGAGTTTCAACCTCTTTTTTAATAGTGTGGTGACCAAAACTGGATACAGTACTCTAGGTGTGGTCTTACTAAGGCTTTATAGAGTGGTATTAGGACCTCACTTAATCTCGATTGTATCCCTCTGTTAATGCAACTTAGGATTGCATTGGCTTTTTTGGCTGCTGCTGCACACAGCTGGCTCCTGTTTAGCCAGTTGTCCACTAAGACTCCAAGATCCTTTGGCACAGAGCTCAGATTTCGAAAAGAGATGAATATTCATGTTCCCCAGGGTGGGAAACGCTGAAAAACCACTTCACTTTTGGATCCGAGCTTTCCCTGAGGAGTTAGCCCAAAGCATATCTCAAAATGGTGGGTAGAACTCAATTCAGCCAAATAAGATCCTTTTTTTTTGACCCAGGGTGAAAAACGTTGAAAACCCACTTCATTTTCGGATCCGAGCTTTCCCTGAGGAGTTATCCCTGGTTACAGATAACAGATATTCAGAGTTGGAAGGGACCTTCTAGGTCATCTAGTCCAACCCTCTCACAGTTACTGCTATTGAGCCTGGTTTCACCCAGTCTGTATGTCTGTACTTTGGGTTTTTCTTGCCTATTTTTCTCCCCCCCAGTCTGCAGGTTTATGGGCACCCCTGGCTTCAGCATGTCCGGAGGAGACTGTATGGGCTACTTTGGAGAGCTGGCCAAACAGCCCCCCTTCTCTGCGGGGAACCCCTCCAAGCGCAAACGCCGAGTGCTTTTCTCCCGAACTCAAGTCCAGGAGCTGGAGAAGAGGTTTGAGATGCAGAAATACCTGACGGCCCCGGAACGTGAACACCTGGCCACCGTGACCCGCCTCACTCCCAACCAGGTGAAGATCTGGTTCCAGAACCACCGCTACAAGCTGAAGAAGCTGCGGGGGCAGCCGACGGAGGTTAAGGTGGGCCTGCAGCAGGAGGCACCCCCGCCGTGTGACAGTAGCACCGTGGCCCACCCCGGGGGCTACCCGTTCCACCAGACATCCGTGGAGGAGAAGCTCCTCCTGCGACACCTGTCTCCCAGCTCCAGCTCCACTGCCGATTCCCAGCCTGGCCTCGAAACGCCCGAAAGCGACTTTCTCTTTGGCAAACCGTGGTAGTCTGTCCCACGGGACAGGGCTCGATGACTTGCTCCACCCGAGGAGCGCGACGGAGCCCAGCCACTCCGGGACAAGAACTTTTTATTTTACTTTATTACTGGCTCGATACCCGTGTGCTTCGCTACAAAACTATGTGGTGGGGCTTAGTTTTGGGGGAGGAAAATAAGGGGGGGGGGGGAATTCTGCCTCTGCCTACCAGCCTCCATCGGTATTCATCTGGCTAGTGTCCTGTCGGTGTGTGAGAGAGTTGAGGGCTGTTTGGAAACGGAAACAGTATTTGCCGTGTGAGCAAGGAGACAGCAAGGAGCCTGGGCGTGGCTTAGCTCAACTGTTCTGTACTAAATCTGGTTGCTGCTGTGAAACCGAAACCGAACCTCCTCTCCTCTGCTTGTGTTTTGCATTTGGAACAGATTTCTTTTCAGGTGGGGAGGGGGAGTAGAGCTCCTTAGCATCAGAGCATGTTAATAATAATAATATATGAAATACTAATGCTAATACTGTATAGATTTATTATTATTTATATACCTGTGCTGGTCTTTCAACCCCAGCTGGACAGCTCCCAAACTCAAAAGACAAATCAAATCATATCAAAATGATCAAACGAAGCCGACGAGAAGATTAGAAACGGCAAATAACCTGGTTTCGAATCTGACTCGATCTACTCTTCTTGGTAGAATTTTTTTTTTGGGGGGTGGAAAGCTAAGACTTTGCGGCGTTACAGGAGGCTAAAATGAGGGAGGCCAATTGAACTTCATGTGGTAGGGAGTTCCATCGGCCATTGCATGGTTCTACCCATCCAATGGCAGCTGAGCGTTCGAGCCTTTTCGAGGAGCCTCAGCCTTGAAAGTCTTCCAGCTTTTGGGATGGAGGAAAAGCGCTGCGGGTCAACTGGATCGGATCCCCTCGTGCAATGAAATTAAATCTTCAGTATACGTTATACATTAAAAAAATAAAAATAAAACATAAACACACCTCCTTCGCATTCTATGCATTGAATTGAAAACCCCTGATATGGCATTAATACTGCACTATAGAGCAGAATTCAACAGAGTTACTGCCCTGGGATAGAAGCTGTTTTTCTGCCTATTTGTCCTTGTTTTCATTATTCTGTACCGTCTGCCAGATGGTAATAGTTCAAAAAAAGGGTTCCCAGGATGAGATGGATCTTTGAGAATGTTTTGAACTTTCTTAAGGCAGCGGGAGCTATAAAGCTCTTCCAAAGAGGGGAGAAGGCAACCCAGGATCCCTTGGGCAATGACATTAACCCTCTGGAGTGCCGTCCTATCTGCCCCGGTGCAAATTGGCAAACCAGACAAAGGTTGCAGCTAGTTAAAATACTCTCTACGGTGCAGCAGTAGAAGGGTCACCAGCAGTTTTTCATTCTGTTGTTTCCTGAGAAGCCTCAGGTAGTAGAATCTCTGCTGGGCCCTTTTGGACCAGGGCTTGCAATGTGGGCACACCCCAGGTTCAGCTGGGGCAGTGGCTGGCTTCTGTGGGGGTGCAAATCCTGGTTTTGGGGCTCAGCCAAGGGTGCCTGGGGAATTCTATGTGTGTGTGTGTGTGTGTGTGTGTGTGAAGTCCACCAGGTTTAAAAATTCATGAGCTTGAGAAAAGCTGTTGCTTTTAGGAAGGAATTCAAATGTGCAGCCTTTATGCCTGGGGCCAAAGAGCTGAGCTGGAGGCTAACCATCTCAGCCAAGGGGTGGGGAAACCCAGGCTGATCCTGGCCCTCAGGCTCCTGGGGTCTGGAAATGGCCCCAATCCTCAACTTTCAAGTGCCAAGTTAGTACAATGTGGGGGGGGGGGGGGGGCTTGGCCCGCTTTGCAAAGACAAAGACAAAACAGCCATCTGCATGACTTTAACTCTGCAGGCTGAAAAGATTGCTTAAGCATGAAAGCAGGGCTTCCCAATCTGTTTTCCACCTTATCAGGAAGCCTTTCATACCCAAAAATGCAAATTAGAACATAGAATAATAGGGTTGGGAGAGACCTGGGTCCCCGGGAGGTCTTCTAGTCCAACCCCCCCCCCAGCTCAAGGGAGAGATCCTTTTTCATTGGTGGTCCAACCTCTTGAAAACTTCCAGTGATGGGGTCAGTTTACAATGTCTCTGCGGTGACCGAGCAATGGGTTTGAGCCAGGTTAAAATACCTTTATTGTCCCTGCATTCCACGAATACAACGACATTTGAAAGCTACTCCAGCGCAGTGCTGCAAACACCACATCACAATCACACTACAGAGTATTTAATAATAATAATAATAATAATAATAATAATAATAATAATAATAATAATAATAATATAGGATTAAATCACAAATGCACTGTTTGATTCAAGACAATTATTGCCTTGGAAAAGAATGTTTCTCAATCTATTAGTCCTCATTTTAAGACACCTATAACGCCTCCCTGATGGTTACAGTTCCAAATATGAATGTCCCGGATGAGAACGGTCTGTGGAGATTTTTAGTGCTCTAGAGAGGAGTCTGGTCTTCGCAATCTCTTGCAAAGAGGAAAGCATCTTCTTATCCACCGCAGAGCATCCAGCAAACCTTTGAGCCCAAAGGGGGGAAAAAACAAAACACTTTTTAATCTAATTTTGAGTAATTTACCCGGATTTGGGGCAGCCCTTCCTTAAACTTATAAGACACTACAGCACTGAAGTGAAATCTATAAGGAAATCTGTGGCTTTATATGTTGAAATAAGACAGTATGAAGAGTATAAAATTTCTCAATATATTTGTTGGCAGGTATGTCCTTTCCAAGAAACATTCACTGCAATTTCTTTTTCCTCCTCAATGATTCATTTTTAACATGTGCTAAAAACCACCAGAATTTTTTTCCAGCATCCACATAAAACCATTCTCTTTTTACTCTGTTATGAATGACTTGCTAGCTTGCTGTTATCAATAAACTTCTTCAGGTCACCTAAAAAACACATTTTGTGCCAGGGGGTGTTCAATATCCGCTCATTTACCTCAGACAAGTTTCTATTCTTCCTTGCGAGAATCTTATCTATGCTGTAAATCGACCTGATTGTGACTTTTTCAAATCATTCTTACTTTTTGTTGCCAACAGACTAAAATAGTTTCTTGGTGACAATGCTGGTTAAACACGCACACACCCACACACCAGAGGAAATATTAATAAAAGACGCAAATATATTCACAAGGGGCCTGAAAGGAAGTTTCCTCTAATAGGTGTTAAAGATAAAAACAGTGTATTTTTTCCAGATATCCCCTTTTCCGTGACTGGCTTCACACAAAAACATGTTTTTAACTTTCTTATTGAATTTGCATATGTTCTCACTTTTGCAAAAGGTAGCTTACCTACATAGTTACGTTAAGACCTCCCTTCCTGAATAACTTACACAAATTAAAGAACAGTTTTAAAACTAATTAAGCGTATGGTGTGTTGGGGGAAATGTGGCTTCTAGATTTGGTTAAGCAATCCAGCCTATAAAACAACTTTTACAACGTCTGGCAAGCAATGGGAAAGCCAGATTGACTTAATAACCCTGTTGCTAGTGTGATAATTGTGGTGTTTCGTTTAACGACTGGGACAAGAAAGGTTACAAAATGGGGCAAAACTCACTCAACCTTTTTTCCAGCTCAAGTGTGGTCATAAAGAGAGGACCACTTTTATTTAAAGGGCTGTCACAGTAGAAGAAAGGGTCAACTTATTCTCCAAAGCACCAGAAGGGAGGACAAAAAGCAACGGATGGAAATTAATCTTGATAGAGCACACAATAGATATAAACTTAATGTAAACCACTCCCAACTCGATTGCAGGAAGTACGATTTCAGCAACAGAGTGGTCAATGTCTGGAACTCATTACCTGATTCTGTTGTCACCTGCTCAAACCCCCACTCCTTTACTCTCAAACTAACCTCTATTGACCTCACCCCATTCCTAAGAGGTCTGCAAGGGGCGTGCATAAGCGCACCATCACGCCTACCGTCCCTGTCCTATTGTCCCCAATTATTAGTTCCTATTTCTTGTATTTAAACTTAGGTTTACCCTTGTTTCTGTTGTATTGTAAGCTTTTGACAAAATACATACAATAAAATAATAAATAAATAACCCAGGACAGAAAGCAACCTGGAATTAAGGAGAAACTTCCTAATGGTGAGGACAATTAATCAGTGGGACAGCCTGCCACCAGAAATTGTGGGTGCTCCATCACTGGAGGCTTTCAAGTGGAGATGGGACAACCCTTTGTCTGAAATAGTATAGTAGCAGGGTAACAGAGTTGAAAGGGACCTTGGAGGTCATCTAGTCCAACCCCCTGCGCAATACCATTCCACACAAATGGCTGTCCATTCTCTTCTTAAAAACCTCCAGGGATGGAACAGCCACAACTTCTAGAGGCACTTGATTAATTGTTCTAACTGTCAGGAAATTCCTCCTTAGTTCTAAGTTGCGTCTCTCCTTGATTAGTTTCCATCCGTTGCTTCTCGTCCTGTTTTCATGTGCTTTGGAGAATAGCTTGACTCCCTTTTCTTTGGGGCAGCCCCTCAAATACTGGAGCACTGCTATGATCGTCACCCCGAGTCCTTCTTTTCCTTACTCCTCGTCTCCTGTTTCAGGGGGTCTCCTGCAGGAGCAGAGGGGTGGGTGGGACTAGAAGATCTCCAAGGTCCCTTTCAAAGGGCGTCCTTCTGCATTGTGTTATTCCGCTTCTCCAAATTGTACAGGACGTCCCATCCCGGTCTTAAGAATGCTGTGAGCTCATGCAGTTCGGCTCCTCAAGGGCTTCCTCCAATATTGACTGTCCTTATTGACAGATCTCCTTTCCTCCCCTCCCCAATTCCTCCCCACCCACCCCCACCACCCCCAACGCAACTTTTTGCTTGCTTTCTAGAAAGCACTTGGTTCCTGGTGGCGCCAGCAAGGAACGCAATCTTGTTGACTTTTCCTCTCTTCGCTGAAGATTAAAGGCGCCAATTGTTTGAAGGTGGGTCACTCCAAACAGGAAATGACCCCCGGGGCAGGTCCTATC